GTCTCCTCAAGAAACTCAGAACCATCTTTATGAATCTACATGGAAGGAAGGAAGCAAAAATGGGTGTCTGTGATTTTTTTTTTTTTTTTTTTTTTTTTTTTGAGAAAGAGTCTTGCTCTGTTGCCCAGGCTGGAGTACAGTGGCATGATCATAGCTTACTGCATCCTGGAACTGCTGGGCTCAAGTGATGCTCTCACCTCAGCCTCCTGAGCAGCGAGACTTTAGCTACGTGCCATCATACCTGCCTAATGTTTAAAAAAATATTTTATAGAAATGAGGTCATACTATGTTGCCCAGGCTGGTCTTGAGCTCCTAGCCTCAAGCAACCCTGCTTCAGCCTCCCAAAGTGATGGGATTACAAGTGAGTCATCATACCCATCTCTTAACTTTTAACATAGCAATAATTTGAGGTTTATATTGAACTATGTGTAGAGAGACATACAGTTGAGAGTGCTTTGCAATTATTAGGCTGTCAGTTTTTATTTTAAGATTCTTATGTCATTTTAAAAAGAAAGAGGTGAGAGATGCTTGATCCTACTGCTAATTTTGACCAAATTGTTTTTCTAGGAATCATTTTTCTGGAATATACTTTAAAGCAGCAGTCCCCAATCTTTTTGGCACCAGGGACTGGTTTAATGGAAGACAGTGTTTCCACAGATTTGGGGCTGGGGGGGTTTTGAGATGAAACTGCTCAACCTCAGATCATCAGGCATTAGATTCTCATAAGGAGCACGCAGCCTAGATCCCTCGCATGCACAGTTCACAATAGGGTTCGAGCTTCTGTGAGAATCTAATGCTGCTGCTGATCTGATAGGAGGCAGAGTTCAGGTGATAATGCTTGCTTACCCACTGCTCACCTCCTGCTGTGCGGCCTGGTTCCTAACAGGCCACGGACCGGTACCAGTCTGTGGCCCAGGGTTTGGGGACCTCTGCTTTAAAGTAAAATAAAATAGTTTTCAAAAGTATCTTTTTTCTCCAAAGTTGTGTACTTTTTGGTTACAGGTGATGGATTGAACATTTATTTAGTAATATCAAAATGACTGTTTAATGAAAATATCCTTGATGCATTTTTGAAATTATTCTTTTATCTTTTCCAGAATTTTCCAGCGAGAAAAGTGCCCTGTAAGAAAGATGCTGCATCAGGTTCATTCTTTGCTCGGGACAATACCGCAAACTTCCTTCACTGGTGTAGGGACATTGGGGTTGATGAAACTTACCTCTTTGAATCTGAAGGTTTAGGTAAGTGATGTTGTTGACATTCTTGTTTTTAATGCTTATTAGGAGATTTTAATATCCTTAACCTCTAATTTTTCTTTCCAAATAAGGACTCAAATGCCTCATCTCATTTTCCTAGAAAAATGTATACTTTGAATATATGTTAAACTATTGGAGAATCAGGGCCGGGCGCAGTGGCTCATGCCTATAATTCTAGCACTTTGGGAGGCTGAGACGGGCGGATCATGAGGTCAGGAGATCGAAACCATCCTGGCTAACACGGTGAAAGCCCGTCTACTAAAAAAAAAAAAAATTAGCTAGGCATGCTGGCAGGCACCTGTAGTCCCAGCTACTTGGAAGGCTGAGGCAGGAGAATGGCGTGAACCCGGGAGGTGGAGCTTGCAGTGAGCCGAGATCACACCACTGCACTCCAGCCTGGGTGACAGAGCGAGACTCCGTCTCAAAAAAAAAAAAAAGGAATCAGATATTAAATAAATCAAATATATTAACCTTTTCACTTACAGTTAAAGATTTTATGTGTCTAGAATGCCCTAAAATTCTAAATTCCTAAATGAGTTGGCTACATTAAGAATTACTCTACCAAGCCTAAAAAGTAGTAACTTCCCTTTCACCATATAATTACGGAAATGACAGAAGGCCTAATAATGTATAATCATGGTGTTTAGCTTTACCGTATAACAACAGCTGCCAACTCTAATGGATTAATATTTTTGACAATTCATTTTGAGAAGTCATGCTCCGTTGAAGAATGATTGACGTATTTTCTCATTTCCTTTAAGTCAACAGAAGCACCTGTATAGTGACTAAAGCGGTAGCTATTTAAGTTTTGTACTATATTTGAAAGCATTTATGTATGTGTACATACACACCCATACCCACCCCCCTACCCCCACACACTGAATTCATAATGTGATAAGCACAGCAGTATACCAAGGGCAGGGCTGTGGGAGTTGTCTGCCCTGGTAGAAGTTTTGTCACTGACATTGTTTAGGATTGCTGGTTTGTGGTGATAGTAAAAAGCAAACTGACTTTTAGTTGGTGCATTATTGTTTTAAAATTCTCTACTGACAGTGCACACCCTTATTGCCTGCACACAGGGTAAGTTGCCTCCCGTTTACTCTGCATCTGGGCACCCGTATCCAGTGCAGAGCAAGCATGGGATGCTATTTTATCCCTCTGTTTGCACCTTGCTTTAGATCCAGGTGGGCTGATCTTTATTGACAATGTAGTTGATGTAATGGCATATCTACTTTCTAGACATCAAAAGAAAGTGGAAATGCTTTGAATTCTCTAGTTTCTGGTTTATAGTTTCTGAAAGGACATAAGATGGTTGTATATTTCTCATTTTCAGTAGAAGGCATCTTCTCACTCTCCTGAAGGTCAGTATAGGACTAAGTAAAGCGCTGTCAATAGCAGTAATTCATTTTGAGGCATTGAACCAATAAGCTAATGTTTTTACTCTCCAGAGGTCTCAAAGATGAGCCTCTTAATTTTTCACACTTTGCTAGCAACTCATAGCTATTTTATGAAACAAATATACTATTTTAAGAAACTTAGAAAGTATTTAGAAAAACAAGTTTAATAAAAATTTTAGGATAAATTCCTCTGTTGGTATGGATTTTAAACTCAAATGTAGGCTTTTTATTGCTTTGAAAGAGTATACTTTGTGCTTGGGATGTATAATAGATGCTATTCATAAGTCAAAGAACAATTACTATTTTTATTGAGAGAATCAGGGCAAATGTAGTTCATGCACATATTGCACATGATTAGATTAGGATTCAGAAATTTCCTAGACTTTCTAACTTTAAGGACTGGAACAGAAAGGTAGATGATCCATAACTACTACTATATCATTGCATTTAGCGTATGTTCTATGATCAGGCCTTTTTAAAAAATATTTTAAAGATCCCTGTTTACCTTTATATTGCATTTCCTTTTAAATTTATTTTTATTTTTAGTATTGTATTAAAATGCACATAAAATTTACTATCTTAGGCTGGGCACGGTGGCTCACGCCTGTAATCCCAGCACTTTGGGAGGCTGAGGCAGACAGATCACCTGAGGTCAGGGGTTTGAGACCAGCCTGGGCAACATGGTGAAACCCCGTCTCTACAAAAATACAAAAATCAGCTGGGCATGGTGGTGCATGCCAGTAGTCCCAGCTACTCAGGAGGCTGAGGCGGGAGAATTGCTTGAACCTGGGAGTGCAGTGAGCCAAGATCACGCCACTGCACTCCAGACTGGGTGAAAGTGAGACTCAAAAAAAAAAAAATTACTATCTTAACCATTTAACCATTTTTAAGTGTATTAGTTTCTTTTGTAATAGCATAAAAATTGAGATATGCTGTGTACATAATGTAAAATTTATAATTTTAAAATGTATATTTCAGTGGTTTTTAGTATATTCACTATGTTGTACAATCATTACTACTATCTAATTTTGGAACATTTCTAGAAAATCTATACCTATTAGCAATTAGTCCCAGTTATTCTCTTCCCCCATGCCAAGGCAAACCCTGTTCTCTGTCTCTATGGATTTGCATATTCTTGATGTTTCATATAAATGGAATCATACAATATGTGGCCTTTTGTGTCTGTTTCTTCTACTTAGCACAGTGGTTCATTTATGTTGTAGCATGTAACAGTACTTCATTCCTTTTTATGGTAGACTAATATTCCATTGTATAGCTATGCCATATTTTTTTAATCCATTAATCAGCTAGTGGGCATTTGGATTGTTTCCACTCTTTGGCTATTGTGAATAATGTTGCTCTGAACATTTGTGTACAAATTTTGACGTAAACATCTTTTTTTTGAGACAAGAGTCTTGCTCTGTCACCCAGGCTGGAGTGTAGTGGCACAATCTCGACTCACTGCAAGCTCTGCCTCCCGGGTGCGTGCCATTCTCCTGCCTCAGCCTCCCGAGTAGCTGGGACTACAGGCACCCACTACCATGCCCAGCTAATTTTTTGTATTTTTTAGTAGAGACGGGGTTTTACCGCGTTAGCTGGGATCGTCTCGATCTCCTGACTTTGTGATCCGCCCATCTCAAACTTCCAAAGTGCTGGAATTACAGGCGTGAGCCACTGCGCCCGGCTGTAAACATATTTTTTAATTCTTTCAGATACATGCCTAGGAGTGGAATTTCTAGGTCATATGGTAACTCTGTCTATCTTTTTGAGGAGCTATTTTCAAAGTGGCTGGACCATTTTACATTTCCACCAGCAGTGCCCATGTGTTCCAGTTTCTCCACATCTTTGTCAATACTTGTTATTGCCTGTTTTTGTTTTTATTATAACCATGCTAGTGGGTGTGAAGCAGTATTTTGTTGTGGTTTTGATTTGCATTTCCCTAAGGACATTGAACATCTTTTTATATGCTTGTTAACCACTTGTATAACTTCTTTGGAGACTGTCTATTCAAATCCTTTACCTATTTAAACAATTGGGTCATTTACCCTTTTTGTCAGCTTGCAAGAATTCTTTATATATTCTAGATACTAGGCCATATTAGATAGGATTTGTAAATATTTTCTCCTAGCCTTTGGGTTATTTTTTTACTTTCTTGATAGTGTCCTTTGATATATGCAAATTTTAAATTTTGGTGACATTTATCTATTTTTTTTTTTTTTGCTTATTCATACTTTTGGTCATCTAAAAATCCGTTGCCTAATTAAAGTCATACATATTTTTAACCTATATTTTCTTCTATAAATGTTACAGTTGGTGCCTCTTAGTTTTAGGTCATTGATCTATTTTGAGTTAGTTTTTGTATATGGTGGGAGGTAGGGGTTCAAATTCATTCTTTTGCATATAGATATTCAGTTGTGCCAACACAGTTTGTTGAAAAACCTGTTCTCTCCTTATTGAATTGTCTTAGCATCTTGTTGAAATTAATTGTACATAAATGTATGGGTTTATTTCTGGACACTCATTTCCATTCCATTGATCTGTACATTTATCCCTATGCCAGTGATACACTGTCTTGATTCCTGTAGCTTATAGTAAGTTTTGAAATTGGGAGGTGTGAGTCTCCAACTTTGTTCTTTTTCTAGATTGGTTAGGCTTTTCTGTGCCTTTGGAGTCCCATATTAATTGGATCATCAGCTTTTCCATTTCTGGAAAAAAAAAAAGGGCTGTTGTAATTTTGATAAGGATTACACTGAATCTGCAGGTCGATTGGGGGAATGTTGCTGTCTTAACAAATTGTCTTCCAATCCACGAACATGAGATGTCTCTATTTATAATCTTAAAATTTCATTCAACAGTGTTTTGTAGTTTTCAGTGTACAAGTGTTACAATTCTGTGATTAGGTTTACTTCCAAGTACTTTGTTCTTTTTGAAGCCATTTTAAGTGGAATTATTTTCTTCATTTCATTTTCATACTGTTCATTTCTAGTGTATGCAACTAATTTTTGTGTGTTGATGTTACCTCCCACAACTTTGCTGAACTTGCTTATTAGCTCTAACAGTTATTTTGTAGATTCTTCAGGGTTTTCTTCTATACATAGGATTACGTTACCTGTTTTTTGTTTTTTTGTTTAGTTTTTGTTGCTTTGTTTTTTGAGACAGGGTCTCACTCGGTCACCCAGGACTGGAGTATAAGTGGCATGATAATAGCTCACTGCAGTCTTGAACTCATGGATTCAATTCATCCTCCTGCCTCGGCCTCTTGAGTATCTGGGATTACAAGTGTGTGCCACTATGCCTGGCTAATTAAAAAAAAAAAAAGAAAATTGTGGAGACAGAGTCTCACTTTGTTGCCCAGGCTGATCTCAAACTCCTAGCCTCAAGCAATCTTCCCGCCTCAGTCTCCCAAAGTGCTAGTAGTATTATAGGTGTGAGCCACCATGTCTGGCCTATGTTACCTGTTAATAGATGTAGTTTTCCTTCTTCCTTTCTAGTCCAGATACGATTTATTTATTTTTCTTGCATAAATGTCATGGCTACAACCTCCAATACAATGCTGAATAGAAATAATAAAAGTGGACATCCTTGTCTTTTCCTGGTCTTGAGAGGGAGACTTACAGTTTTTTACCTTTAAGAAAGATAATGATTGTGGGTTTTTCCTAGATGCCCTTTATCAGATTGAGAAACTTTCCTTTTTTTCCTGGTTTGTTCAGTCTGTTTTTTTTTTTTTTTTTTAATCATGAAATGGTTGGATTTTGTGAAGTGGTTCTTCGTCTCTTGAGATAAGATAATTGTGTGTGTTTTTTCTTTACTCTGCTAATAGTGTATTGCCTTGGTTGATTTTCTTATATTGAACTATTTCTGGCATAAATGACACTTGCATGGTATATAATCCTTTAATATGCTGCTGGATTTGGTTTGCCAGTATTTCTTTGAGGATTTTTGTATCTATATTCATAAGACATACTGGGTTTTCGTTTTCTTATGATGTCTTCATCTGGCTGGCTACCTTTGGTATCAGGGTAATGCTGTCATCCTAGAATGAGTTAGGAAGTACTTTCTCTCCTCTTTGTAAGAGTTTGAGAAAGGTATTAACACATAATTCAATGCTAAAGATAGCTTAAAATAAAATCGAGGTATTATATATCTTTTAATGTATCTCTTGTTGAAAGATCTGAAACATAAGCAATGTTACTAAGCCCTCAATTTTTTAGACTTTAAATGCTGTACAAATAAAGGCCCATGGTAATTTTTCATTCTGTTCTTGTTAGCTGGTTTTTTTTAAACTAGTTTGTCGAAGATAATAAGTAGAAAAAATAAAAGTGCCTTTTCTTTATTTTTTCTGAACTAGTAAACCCACTGTCTTCATTATTTTTTTTTAATTTAACTCTCTTCTTCCATGCTAGAAATATGTTTCCATACTTAATTTTGCTGTATAAAATAAGTGATTTTATTTTCCACAGTTTTGCACAAAGATCCAAGACAGGTGTATCTTTGCCTTCTTGAAATTGGTCGAATTGTGTCAAGGTATGTATTTCACCATATTTCAGAATTTCAATGTTATAAACATTTTAAATCTACTGAATTTTAGAACTCTATTTTCTATAAATTAAAAAATTGCTTTAAATTAATTTGCTATTTTTTGTTTCTTTATCAACTTTGTTCTGTTTGCATGAGCATATGTAAACATCTGAGTTCTCAATATAGCTTGTCTTCATTTACTGTTAAACTGCATTTACTGTTCAATTTTTTACATTAAGGATAGGGTAAGAGCATGTAGTCTAAGGCAGTTGAAGTCAAAGCAAGTCCTCTGAACACAGAGAGGATCTGGCAGAAGGCCAAGGCGCGGTGTCCCCCATACCTACTTCAGTTCTGTCTTTACTCACCAGGTGATTTGAAAGCCATCTTTCAGGATCCCAGGTAGAATATTGGGAGCATCCTGCAACCCAAATATGTGCTATGATGTGAGGATTATAATATAGATATTTTGCAATCTATGAGACATTAAACAGCATTTTCAAATATCCCAGTGAAACAATTGGTAGAAAAGGAGCATATAGACTTTGCTTCAGAAAGAAAATCTATCTTGATGTGCAGGCAAGTACCTGGGTCAACTTTGCTTGAATAATCAGATCTCCTGGTTGGTTTTCAGATATGGGGTTGAGCCACCAGTGTTAGTAAAACTTGAGAAAGAAATTGAGTTAGAAGAGACCTTGCTTAATACTTCTGGGCCTGAAGATTCCATCACCATTCCAAAATCGTGCTGTCAGCATGAAGAGCTACATGAAGCTGTAAGTAGTTGCCACACTTTCTTTTGACCATAGTACCTTGAAGTCTCATAGTTTTAAGCACTTCTAGTTTGCTACAGGTGATGCTATTTTTAAAAGCAAGTATTTCTTATTCAGAATATAAACCAGTACTATTCTCCATTCTCTGATGAATTCAGGGCATTATATTTTAAAGGTGATTTGTTATTGCGTGTGTATGATGAGGAATAAATGTGTAGTTGAGGAGTGGTGGGGCAAACTGATTGGAACTCATCATGTAGAGCACTATAGGCCACAAGAATTCATTGATTCTTTTTTCAGTCTGGTAGTATTGTAATCTGATTTGCAAATTATAAGGAATATTCTCATGGTCATGTAGAGGTGATATTGGTTTTATGGTAATAATCCAGGCATAAGATGAGAGCTTGAACTTGAGCAGCAGTAATGGGGATGAAGCAAAAGGAACAAATATAAGACATATTTAGGAGGAATTGTTAGAAGAATTGACAGGAATTAGTGACTGATTGTGTGAGAAAGAGAGAATCTAGGGGTGATTTCCAAGGTTTCTCTAAGTAGATGGAGAATACAGGAGGAGGGAAAGTTGTGAGGGAATATTGATGGGTTTTTTTTTTTTTTTTTTGAGAATTCTCTCCTCCAGAATATATCCAGACTTGTTAGATGATAAGTTACAACTGGATAGTCTTCTTAACGTTATCTGTTCATTAGGTAGAAGTTAATAGAATTGCTCTTCCTTGGGTTGTGGGTCTTCTACAGTGACTACAGTGTGAACAATGAAGGTGAACTGAGCATGAACATTTTCTGCTTAGACTGTTGTTTGGACTGTAGCATTTTGTGAAAGTGTGAAATACACAAAATTAAGAAATAATGAATAAATCATTACTAATAAACATTTTAAAAGTATTGCCTTGATTGTTTTGTTTAATGTAATAAAAGTCTATAGTAAAACTATCAGATAACCTTGCAAGACAGATTAAGAACATGTCAGAATGAACAACTCTTTTATCCGGCCAGAGTATCTACCTACATTATGCTATTGATGTGTGTGTGTGTATATATTTTATATATATATAATATATATAATGATTGTCAATATCAATATGGGAAGCAGAAAGAATGCAGTAGGTAGAAAATAAAATTTAAAACTCATGTAACCTTAAAGAATGATAATTAAATAAAAAGGAAACATTGGAAAAATATTTGTATCAAGTGGAAAATACAGTGTTTTCATTTCCCTATTATATAAAGACCTTACACAGTTTGATAAGAAAATCATTGTAGTAAATAAATGGGCAAGGTCTGTGTTCACACAGGAAGATAGCGCAGTGTCGAAACTTGCTGATAATTGAGGAAATCAGATTATAACAGCTATGAAATACCATTTGCCATTTGCCCCATTAGCAAGATTTTTTAAAATTATGAAGCCTGGTGCTTTTAAATTCTAGTAAACTGTATTTAGGGTTTACTGTTGGCAATGGAAAATGATGTAAACTTTTGAAAAAGAAATGGACAAATATTAAGAGCTACAAAAATATTACTTTTTCATTTTTATTGTAGTTGAAGAGGGAAAAAGTAGCATAAATCAATGTGTTTATTGCATTAGGACTTAGAATGGTGAAAAATTGAAAGCAATGTAAATACCCTCAAATAGGGCAATGGTTTGGCAAATTAGGATTCATAATCTTAACAGGATAATCACTGTGATCATTATGAAGAATATGTAGCAACAAGAAACATTTATTTTGTGTAAAATATGTATATACAGACAAACTGTACAGAAATGAGAATGAAAATAATAGTAATATAGTACCTTTGTAGATTATTTTTATTTCCTTAGCTATTTCCTTCAGTATTATGATGTAAATTATGTAATAAAATCAGAAGAAATCATTTCTTACCTACAGCTCTTATTTCTTTTAGGCTCATGCCTTGTTCTGATTGTGGGTTAGTGCTGATTTGTACTGCTCAATATAAGTGAGCTTCAGGTACCTTAAACAAGGAAAAGATATGCCTTCTTATATCTACATTCTTGTTATGAAAACTAAAAAGAAACATTTCTCTAAATATATATGTGCTATATGAATACATTCAATGTCTACCTGTAAATACGTGATCTACAGAGATCTTTGTTGAAAATAAGGAACAATTATTATCTGATTCATGATTTAGAGTCCTGTTACAAAATATACAACTGCAATTCTGTATACTTAGGAAATTTTTACAGACAGAAAGTGGTGACTAAAAGATATATCTCCTTTCAGATTACTTTGGTTAACTAATGTATCAACATGGTTCTAATAACTGTAAGCCCTTTCCCAGAGTTCAGTTTATTTTTCACCATTTTATGTGCATGATGTGTGTGTCTGTATGAACGTAGATGCACATGTGCACGTGTGCATGTGAACAACATAAACTTGATTGGGTGACTTATGAAAATCAGTTCTATTTGTTTATAAGCACATTATTTTGTTAAATACATGATACAGGAAAATAAATTCTGGACCTTTCTTATCAGGCCCTAGTGAATCCACAAGTGTTCATTTGATTTAGGTAGATATTTAAGACAATCATATAAATTTCTATTGGTGCTCAGCTAAATTAGGCATATCTAAAGAGACTCTCTTTAACATCATGCCTAAGTTTAGTTATATGAATTCGTTTTGATAAATTGTGTGTGGCAGTAATTGAAAAAAACATTCATGACCTTCCTTTTTCAAAAACATAATTTTAGGAAAAGCCAAATATTTTCCACAGTGGCTGATGTGTGACTTTCTTCAGTCATAGATATTTCAACAAATATCTTTACTTAATATATTTATATTTCCATGTTTTGAATGTATAATTCTTAAATTTGTTTTTATATTTACTGCAGTTCTACTATTTAAAAATATTTATAATAATAAAAATTTCTGTAAGCTTCTTGACTGGCTGAAGTAGAGTTCCCCCATGCCAACTCCTATTTCCTTAGCAGGCTATTGAAACAGAGCACTTTTAGAGAAATGCACCTTGAATTGAAAATTTTAAGAATTTTACCCAGTCTTGAGAGAATAGATGTGAATATATTTCTGCCAATTTTAATAATAAATTTGAGCAAATCTAGATATTTCCCCCACAATATTAGTTTAGTACACTGTTAAGGGACAAGTGAAAATTCCTACTTAGCCTTTATCTGACTGGCCTGTCTTTGATTTGACATGTATTACTAACTCAGGGCTTAAAACAAAGTCAAGCTTAGTAACGAACTCGTATGTTTCCCAAAACTCAACAAATGTGTTAATTGCCCTCACTGTGTTATGTGTTCGAAGATGAAGGGTGGGTGGGAGGGAGGGAGGGAGAGAGAGAAAAATAAAAGAGAGAGAGAGAGAGAGAGACACTGAGAGAGAGAGAGACAGAGAGACACCAGCTAGGCTGTTTGGATCTGAAACCTGGCTCCGCTACTTACTAGCTGTATGATCTCAGGCAAGTTTAACCTCTTTGGTAAAACTGGGGAAAATAAGAATTTCTTTACCACAAAGTTGTGCTGGGAAGATTGTGGCTTTTATGTTAGATTAGCAATGTCTAATCTCAATATTTGTTAACAAGCACAGGAGAAGCGATTACATCGTTGAACCTAGAATTTTTATTTTTAAGTTTGGTTTTCCTTGGCTATCAAATAATATTGCACTTTAAACAAAATGCTTTTTGTAACAAGCACTAAATTTTATTTATTCATCATCTTAGGTTAAACATATTGCTGAGGATCCTCCTTGTAGTTGTTCTCATCGATTTTCTATTGAGTATTTGTCTGAAGGACGGTACCGACTAGGGGATAAAATACTCTTTATAAGAGTAAGTCCATTATTTACATTTTATTTACACATAAATACTGTTTTGAAATTGGATTTATTGTTTCACTAACCTTTTGCTCCCCTTTTACTTTTAAAAACATTGGAAAAGATGCTATTAATGGAAGGATTTCACTGTACAAGGAAAATGGAGTAATTTCATTCATGAGTATATAATGAATTTAGGTAAACACTCATCACACAGCAAACAACTAACTTCAGGATAGCTAAGATTATTTAGACAGTGAATATAATAGGGGAAAAATCCTTGTATACCTCAAGGAACTTATTTCTCAAATTTTCTTAGAAAAAGGAATTTTCCATCATAAGAAGAAAAAACAAAGCATCTAATAAGATTGAGTATCCATAGTAAAAAAAAAAAACAAAAAAAAAAACCTGTACAGTTTATAATAATACAAGCCTTGGACATTAAACAGAAAATATTTTTTTCATTGACACAGAATCAGTATGTATACCAGTATGCTGATACATATTTTCATTTCCTTCCTTTGTCCTATCTACAGTTGATTAATTGTTCCTTTTGCTGGTAAGGAGATTGAAATTTCACCTGTTCATCATCCTTTACACTTCTTATACAGAAGCTGTCTTATTTCCAATTTAGGAAAATAATATAAAAGTATTTAAAAATATAATTTCACCATCCATGTTTTCTTCTATTTCACGTATTATTATTACCTCCTCAGCCCCACCTAGCTCATACAGAAACATTTACATGCATTTTCTTTTAATTAGCTTTCTGTTTTAAGGCAGTATGATGTGGTAGTACACAGAACATAGGACTTAGAGTTAAAATTTGTGGGTAATCTCATACAGTTGTGCAGATTTGCCTGCTGAATGGACAGGGCCCTAAAACCCAACTTGAGATATATTGGCAGAGCCAGGATATCTTATTTTT